ATAATTTTAGTCTACAAAACGAATCAGCATATAATTTGTTGTGCCATATGATCTATCTGTGCTTCGGGAACGACCAACAGAAGAGGTTACCAAGACAGACAAAAGCAGAAATTGCATCAGAGGGCCAATGTGACGGAACTAGGCGAAGGTAACTGCACCATTAATTCCACATATATTGAGTGTGTACTGGTCTTGGCATGCCTTAAATTAATAGGCGCCACTACAAGTATGTGTGCGCGGTGAGATATAATTTGAGATTTGAGTGCCAAGTGAGAATGTTGTTTGTAAGTAATTCTGTAAAGGATTAAAAGTATTATAAATGAAAGATTCTGCTTTTGTTGATAAAAAAATTCATAAATTTAAAACTAGACTTCTATTAAAATGAAACAGAAGAAGAGATTTTTTGAAATAAGTTGTGTCAAATTTACTTAATTAAAAACAACATTAAAAACTCCAAATTAAAATACCTCATCAGCTGAAGATTCTTGTTGGGATTAGGCCCAACGCCCTCTTAGAGCCACATGCAGCAGGCCCAATTGCACACCCACAGGCCCAAGAGGAGGAGACATACCCGCGTGGGCAACACCACGTGGGCCAATGAGAGACTTACATGTGCTGATACATGTCAGCACTTGGGGCTATAAATACCCCCCAACCACCTCCAAAGAAGGTAATTAATCTCTACGCTTCTCTCTCTGCAATTACTCCTTGAGAGTCTCTCTCTCTAAAGTATTGAGTATTGCTGACTTGAGCGTTGGAGTGTTTTCCCCGAGGAAACAACCTCGGGATTTTCAGGTGTAGAAGCAGCTGAGGACTTCAACAGTGTTGGATTGTGAAGCTGCCGAAACATTGGCGCCGTCTGTGGGAAACCGAACAAAAAGCTGTGTGATTTAACCGGCAGCAAGACAAAATGGTCCGTACCTTTACAGGAGAACGCCCCCCAAGAAATGAAATAGACGAACAGGAGGGCGATCACATATCTGAGGCCGGCTTGAATGACTTTAGGCCGATGCCAAGAAATCTCTTTGTAGGAGGAGCCGAACAGGATCACCTAAGTGAAACAGATGATGAAAGAACACCAACTGGGTATGCAACCCAGCCTGAACAGTTCCAAGCTCCAACAGGAACGAGGCAAAGATCTGCCAGACCGAACAATTCACAGCGTGAGCGACCTGAAAGGTCAACAGAACCTGCTCGGACAACCGAGCTCGAAGAGAGAACCAGAGTTCTCGAAATGGCAATGGGAAGGATCCTTGCCCGCTTAATCCCCGATGACCCCCTGATTCCTTTACTGAACAAGGATGCACAACCTGCTGCGGTTGTCGCGACTAGAAACTCCCCCGCTCTAAGCAATATAATAGTGCCGACCAGGCCGAGGGGAAGTGGGAAGTTGAATATCGAGCCCAGCTCGTCCAAATACAGTGAAGAATTGATGAGAAAGAACGCAGACCTTGAAAAGCAACTGCGGGAGGTACAGAAATCCATCGACGAGCTGAAAAGCCCCAGGTCGCACCAACTGACCTTGGATTTGGATAGTGCTCCACTGAACCTATCCATCACAGCAGAACCATACCAAGAGGGGTTCAAAATCCCCCACCTAGAGACATATGATGGCACGAAAGACCCGGATGAACATCTACACACCTATCAAGCCATCATGAGGATTCAAAACGCCAATGATGCCATGATGTGCAAAGTGTTCCCGGCAACCCTAAAATCAACGGCCAGAAGATGGTATCATAAACTTCCCAGACACTCAATAGATTCTTTTTCCCAGCTCGCCAAGCTGTTTTCTAACAAATTTGCGAGCCAAAGGGAGATCAAGCGCACAGCAACTGAGCTGATGCAGGTTAACCAGAAGGAAGGGGAGTCTTTGAGGGATTACATGCAGCGGTTCAACAAAGCCACACTGGACATTGATAATATCCCAGATACGATCTGCTTGTCCGCCCTGCTACATGGGTTGAAGCGTGGACGGTTCCTAGACGACCTGCTTGAAAACCCACCGAAGACGTGGAACGAGGTGAATGACAGGTCAGCCAGCTTCATACTGTCAGAGGACTTTCAGTCGTCCAAGCGACGAGCTGATGATAAGCCGAGCAGAGGACAGGACCAACAACCGAGAAGAGAAGAAAAGAAGAAGCAGAAGGTCGGTGAGCAATGGGGGAAACCAG